ACTCACTCACTCACTTACTCATTCACACATGAATTCAGAAAGGAAACAATAAAATAGAATCTACTGTCAGGTGATCTAACTGGTAACATAAATTATCCCAAAAATCCTACTTTCCAAAACCAATCCAGAATCAACATGCCCATTTAGAAAGATTGCAGATTCTTAAAAAAAAAAAATGTAGAAAACCTAAAACACATTTTTTTCTGTACTGCAATGAACCCAGAGACTTATAGGCTCATTAAAAATGTACCTTTAAATCACTGAAAAATGAATCATTACATATGAAGCTAAACAAACATGTATGGGTTATATGCTGAAACTACAAATTCCTAATTAAAGATCCAACTATGAATTAAGTAAATACATGGCATACTATCCTAGTTACGGTTGCTATTGCTGTGACAAAACGCCATGACTGAAGCAACATGGGGAGGAAAGAATTTGCTTGTTTTCATCATTACTGTTTATCATCAGAAAATGTCAGGAGAGGAACTCAAACAGTGCAGGTACCTGGAGGCAGGAACTGATGTAGACATAGACATGGAGGGGTGCTGCTTACTGCCTTGTTACCCATGGCTTTCTTGACCTGCTTTCTTATAAGGACTAAGGACACAGGACTAAGACCCCAGGGGTGGCACCAGCCACAATGGGCTGGGTCCCCCACATCAATTTCTAAACAAGAAAATGCCCTATAAGTTTGCCTAGAGATGGGTCTTAATGGAATCATTTTCTCAATTGAGGCTCCTTCCTCTCTGATGACTCTAGCTTTAAAGCCTAAAGTCTCTCAACTGTGGATTTCCATACAGTCAAATTAAATTAAGCACTTTCCTACTTTAAGAAGGAAGAGCACAGTCACAATCTCACTAAAGTAAAGCCAAGCTCCAATAGTGTAAATAACTCAACAGGATTCACTCACCATTTTGTAGGATCATCCAAAGGGCTTGGGTCACATCTCTGCCACTGCCCTCTGCAGCACATACAGCTTGTCTTCCAGAATCTGGCGTGCTCCACTCCACCTCTGCTGTTGTTCTTGGAGGTTTTCCCATAATCCAGGCATCTCCAAAATGGTTGTGTAGTTTAGTGTTCTTCTGGGACTCCCAACAATGGAAGTGTGTTGGGAGTGGGGTGTGTCTCTGATTCTAGCCTGTGTTTGGGACACTTTTTCCTCTACTGAGTTGCTTTGATATGAGGATTTGTACCCAGTCTCATTCTTTTTTTTTTTTTTTTTTTTTTTTT